CCACTGCATCCACTCCAGTGACTTGGCTTCGTTGGGCAAGGCTTGTCACTGGAGCCCTTGCCCCCCTGCACTGCTGGAATTCCCGTGGTATTTTGGGTTGCCCACACACACACACACACATGACGCACGCACACGACTTGCGCACGTGGACAACACCTCGCATTTGTTTTTGCTATCCGCTTTTGCCTCCACGCCAAGCTCCACGGTATGAAGTTCTCCCCACCCACCCTGAAGATGAGGAGGGTGATGAATTACATATGAGTTATAAGTGAGTTAAATGTGGGCAGCGTAGGCATGAACAACGCGTTGTATGCTGGTGACAGCAGCATAGATAGAGCCGCACAGCGCCATCTAAATCCTCAGTGCTGCGCAGAGAATGCCTCCGTACAAAGGCCAAAGATGAAATGTGTCCAAAACCATGCCGTGTCATGGGAAGATAACTGCCCAATGTAACCCACTCGTACAAGCACTGGCCAGATTCCATACGATTCCATGTACATCGGGATGATCTGCTTGTCTCGACCAATCGAAGAGGCCGAGATGACAAGATACAACATCTTGAGTTACAAACCTGCAGGTACCGGGGTAATCGAAGAACATGCACAACAGGCTTTTCAAGAACATTCCGGTCAAACCCAGGTAAAACCCCCTTGTGAGAGCGGCGGTCGTGGCATCCGTGTCGTCGACACATCGCAGCTGCGCGAGGTAGCCTTGGAGGCCACGGTTGGCTTGGAAAGTTTAGGGCTTAGGGTCTTCTTTGCTCGAACAACCCGAAACAGACATTGGGGTCGAAACAGTTTTGCACTCCAAACCCTCCACTCCGAAGCCTTATGCTTGGCTTAATGGTTTCCCCCTATTGTTCGGGTCCATCCAGTCTTAGATGTTATTTTCCGGAGGCATTTGGCCCGAGGATGAACAACCCAACGACAAGTTTCGATTTATGGAATCCTGGAAGGCTACAGTTCAATTGCATATTCGGGTATCCTTGCGGGCTCGCTTACATGGCTCAAGGAGGGAACTTATGACTCATTACTCAACCTCTCCCCCTCTGCCTCTCTCTGTCTCTCTCTCTCTCTCTCTTTCTCTTTCTCTCTCTGTACATAAAGCTAGAGTCTAGGGAATACTGCAGCATCCGGAACCCCACGATTGCAAGAGCCAGCGTGCACTGGAGGTGTGATTTGAGTACTTTTCCCACGATGTCCTTCAGAGGAAATGCAGGCTGCAAGAGCCATTACTTCAGGGACATGAGCCTGCAAGGGCATCGCAGGTTGCGGAATGCAGGGCGCAGGGACTGCAGGCTGCAGGAGCAGAAGGAACGTGGGACAAGCAGGAATCGGAACTTGCTGGATACTGTTGATGGACAAAATCCTGCATGACCTTATATACCTAAACTATGGGGTTTATGGTACTATACTATATCTGGGTCATGCAGGATTTTGTCCATCAGCAGTATGGACCCCTATAGTCACCCTTATTTTCAACTAAATTTTTCCGTCGAAAACAATGCAAAGTATAAGGGGCGAAGAACTCTGACGTTAAGGGGAAGGGCAGAAGTTCGGAAAAAAGGATACTCAATCGAAATAGTGTAGCTTAGCCTTTGCGGCTGAAACACGTTCGACAGTCGACCATAGCCATCCTCGAGGCCGGATCCCTGGTGCAAGAGGCCGTGCAGGATTTGGATTCTTGGTCAATCTTTTGAGTCGTAGGCTTGACGCTTCAGAGTGCAGAGACATTTCATGTGGTTTTGGCATTGCAACCCGCTCGTGAAGACTCCAGGGTAGTTGTTTCATATCCACGTCTGCGTGTTTGTCAGCCATTGACTACAGGACGGATTTTACGTTCAAGCAGCCATGCCTCGTCAAAGCAATTCAGTGTTCAACGGAGATCACCCTGCGTCTCAGGAAACACTGGATCGACGTAAGTTCGTGCGCAGATCTCAGCTGAAGAGGGGTCCTCAAGCTTGGGTCTTTGGCCTGTCGTTTCAGGGTTGAGATGTCGGATATCAGGTTCACGAGATGCTGCGCCTGATTGAGGAAGTGTGTGTCCAAATCAGCTTCAAGCCCTCTCCGAAGCCATAAACATCCAAGCCGCCGTTGGTCCAAGAGAGTTTATGGCACAGTAGAACAGACCTGCACAGAGCTACGGGCGCAGCGGATATTCCCTGCCCATGAAGACTTTGGAGTCCAGAGCTCTTCGACTAAAACCGTGCACATGTTTGGGCCTCCCGGAAATCCGAAGCGGGAAATCCCAAACCGGCAGAGACAATTCTCAGACTAAGGTTGCGGTTTTACCTCCTGATCCATGGAGGACGACTTTACCTTCACAAACGAGGTGGCTTGGCCCCTTCGGCACAGTAAACCCTGAACCCTGTTCGATTAAAGGTGCTGCGATTCCTCTGCTGGGCCAGAGAAAATCACATGTCGGGCTCGAGCTCATAGTGTCAAGCTCAATCCGTAACGAGAATTCCCATTGCTGCCGCTTACCGTTGCTTTTTGAGTAGCACCAGGGACGACAGCCACGCTCGTGAAGCATCGCCAGGAAATCATTTCAGCAATGTAACCATGAATGCTGCATGAATGCATCCAAGTGTGTGCTGCTCATGTTTCCACGGCCGTGCGCGGAGGTGGTGCTGATGATGGGTTCGAAGTAGTGAGGAGAAATATGAGGTTTGACATGTTGAGTGCGAAAACTTCAAGCCGAGACAACTGAGCAGGTGGCTCCCGAAACAGGCTGTCTATCTTGGGGTTTGTGCCGAGTGCACTGAGATTCCTGGGTGCCGAAATGCTACCCTTCTGAGGGTGTTCTCCTGATTGCGTTTGCCCAGGTGTTGTCGTCGTGCATGAGAAGCCATACGACCCTGCGAGCACTGACTACGATGTTCAGGCGGAGTTGCTGTGTCAGGTGCGGGCTGATGAGGACGATGGCAAGCAAAAGGCGACAGATTTGGATATCTTGGTCAGTCAGAATGAAGATCAAAGAAGCATTACCTCCTTTGGTTTAGAGGTCCAGGCAGGAAGTGAAGATTGCGGACATTCCAACCTAATCGCTTAACAGGTAAGCACCGAGACTAACCTCTGCAAGTCCTAGACTCTCCAAGAGACAAGCTCAGAAGTATAGAGACTGATACACATGTGCATGTTAATCCCAAGATATACGAAGATACCTGGAGTTCTGAAAATGCGGACCAACCAACCCTACATTTCCCGGCCTACGCCCAAGACCCCGAAGCTAGTGTCTGTCCAACCTTCTCGTTTCGCGGACTGGTCCACATGATGGTCGTTGTGGCGTCCAAGCTAGAACGGGCACGATTGCTACAATATCTACCTCGAAGACCCCCATGTAGACTTAACACCCAGACACAAGTTCGGAAGTGTCAGAAAATTAGGAGCTCGAACTTAGACCCTACATGACCCTATATGGCGAGGTCCTTCACATAGGGAACCCTACAGGACCCCTAGTTCAAAGATCCAGCCAGGTCTGCCATGACGAGATGCACAGTGCCGGGGCTGCCGATCGGCTGCGTCCGTGGCACCTCCAGCCCGAGGCCCGTGACTTTTGGCAGTTTGGGGCTTGGGGTCTAGGCTTCAGGGGTTTGAGCGTTTAGGATCGTGCTGCTGCGTTTTGTGCTGGTCCAGGAATCACAAGCACGGACGAAGTCAAAGCTACAGGCCGCAGAGATATATATATAGAGAGAGAGAGAGAGAGCTTGCTGACCACATGCTATCCCAGCAAACAACGCAGCAGTCTGGCAAGAGGACTTACCATAATGTGCAAATGTACATGCCTGGCATCCCGATCTTGTAACGCTGAACACCTTATACTGACCGTGGTAAACACGGAAAGATCGTGTCACGGTCAGTTGGAAAGAGCCGGCTTTTACACTCCGCCCTGTTGCTCGCAACATCCGGCGAGCCCGAAAGGTAAACCATCATTTCGTTGACCTGAACCTTCAAACCTCAAGACAGCTGAATGCTCAATCCCTGGGACCGGGGATCTACTCCGTCTTCCCGAAACCATCCGACCCTGAACCCCTAAAGCCTCACGCCCAAAGCCTGCCGCGAAAGAAAGGCCGAGCGCTGGCGAAGCGCCGTGCGACAATGCCTCACAGAGGAGCAGGGGATGAACACAGGTGTCATTGCCGTTTAGGCCGTCTGGTGCCGGCTTTAGGGTTACAGACTGTCAGGTTTTATTCGCGGGCCACAGTCCTAATCCCTGTAAACGCAGCCCGAAGTCCCAAACCCCAAACCCCAGTGCAGCCGCGCTAGGCCCTACCGGCACTTCGGCCGCTGCTAGAGGCCTGTCAATACATCTTGCCGTTCGGTGCCTGGGATTGTGTCCATCATCGTAGGAACACAGCTCGGCTCTCAGCGTTGTTCCTCTTAGCAAACTGTTCAAGTCGTTGGCTCGCTCTAGTGGGGATACTCCATATGCACGGGCTAAGGTACAGCCTTGTTGCCGTCAGAGGTATTTGCTGACGATCTAAGGCAATCAGGGTTCGTGAGGATGCAAGGTTGGGTGGTGACTGTCAATGGCTTTCCTATGCCGGAGGAACTTGAGCCACACTGCCTGCGCTGCTGATAGCCTAGAACCTGTAGATGGACATGTTTGTTCTCTTGGCGTTCCTGTTGGCCTGACTCGCAGGCAATGCCTCGGAGCATGTGGGGGTTTTCGGCTTTAGACTGGGGCGCAAACTTGGAGCTTCGTAAAGAGCCCCCGGCTTTCCCCAAGAGACGGGACCGAGACTGCCCGTCCGACCGTGCCCCCGCCCCGCCTTGCTTTCTCTTTACGACTTAACGAATGAGCCGCTGTGGTATTCTTTGAACAACACCAAGAATCTGCAACTCGCTGCATTACTGCTATCGTTTGTGAAGCGTGCTCACGTGCAGGCCGGGGCTTTCTTTATCAAAGTTACTTCACACGTGAATATGTGGGGGAGGGGCCCGATTGCCCTGGTCACCGAACCATATATACGTGCAGTAGCCTCTCTATCTCTGTGTTGGACATGCTCGCAATCTCTGTGTGTCTGCACACCAGCTCTGCGAAGTAGTTTCAATTTTCTCCGCTGCTAAACGAACATTGGCTATGATTCCCAAACCCAGAGGCAGACAGAGAGAGGAAAATAACAGAGAAAGGGGGAGCGAGAACCATGCTCGAAGGAGACCCATGCTCGAAGGATCAACGGCCCATCGGAGGGAGCAGCGACTGCCAAGCCTTGCTGCTTGTATCTTCTTTCAAGAAAGGGTTGAGCCGGAAGCCTCAGACACATGTGCGCGAGGCCAGCAGCATGCAACGTTATGCCCTGGTGGGCGGCGATGCCCTCATCGAGCGATCAGGAGAGACGGTGCTGGCAGTCTAGCCCACACTTAGCCGCACACATCTCAGAGTTTTGAGCTCCCAAACCCTCAAAGGCTAAGCCAAAGTCCCGTCCCCGGACTGAGCATGCAGTGGCAATGTGGCAGATTCGGCAGGGTTCCAACCCATTCAGAGCATGAGCCATGAGCAGTTTGAATCCCGGGTCAAATCCCAAAGCCACACACTCCAACAAAACTCACATCGTTCAGCTTGAGCTTATGCTTGAAAAGCTTGGGCCCCTGGGAAGAGTTTGGCTTTGGGGTCAAGCTTGCAGTACATGTGTGAGTGGTGCATACCGGCAAAAGCAAGCGCTTCGCGACAATACGACATGGTCAAGCAGGCAAGTTTCGTGACCTTAGCTTCGCGGCTTCTGTGTACGATCGCACAGATCTCCCGTCGAAGTTCCCTAAGGCTGGCAGCACCCCGATGAAAGATTGCACAGCACACGTTCATCCCAAAGCTTGTGGACATTTCGCTGAAGGCTCAAAGAACGAGCCAACACTTCACGTAGCTGAGCTCCAACCCTCGCCCTGACCCATCCTCTAACTCCGCAATCCTGTACGTCCTGTAACCTGTCACTCTGAATCACCTGTTTTTGGCTCGCATAGGAGATGCCAAGTTGATCGAGTTCAACTTCTTTCCAAATCTAGGCACGGCTAGTGGTGATGCAGGTTGTCACTGCTGGGTAGCGAGGTAATCTCTCAGATTCTCTCAATGCAGGGTTCATGGCCCAGGCCATAAGAACCATAGTGCACCTGCTTGGGGACTGAGGGCCAGAGGGTCTCGAAGGTGTCTTTCTTGCCAGGGATGGTGGCTTTTGGCATGCTGTCTTCCGTCTTTGAACACTGTATCCTCCCCGCTCACACCTAATGAAGAATTATGGAGAAACAGTGGGTGGTGAACAGGCGTTGACGGCGCAGGAAAACAAGTGTAGCAAGAACACAAAACTGAGTCTTCGGGGTATAGGGCTTCGGACGAGCTCGTTGGAGTTTGTGCCTGCCGAAACCATGAGCTCCACGATGATGAAGATGTTTCCTGACACAGCCCTGGTGAGAAGGCGCAGCAGCCATAGCAGCAGGCGCAGCACCATCCCCACCAGCGCAGCGCCAGCAGCAGCAGCAGCAGCAGCAGCAGCAGCGGAGTGTAGACAGTAGCCAACAACAGCCAACAGGCACCACGAACCCATAAACACTAGATTCAAGAGATGCTTACAAGGGTTTTTCTATGGTAACATCCATAGCAGCTACACCCTGTGTTACCATTGGACGGAGGCTTAAGTGTGGCGCGGAGAACGCTATCCCCCTCCCCCTCCCTTCCCCCCAGGCTCCGAACCCAGATGTGTTCGATGGTCGTGACCTTGATTTTCAGGGCCAGCAGGGCATCCCGCAAAAACTGATGTTGTCGAGATGTGGTATGGAGGAAACAGCATTCATTGCGCATAAGCCACGATGTTTTCGAAAAGTCGGGAACAAAGGCCAATTCAAGAATTCGCTGTCGAGGGCACCACGTGGGAATAGCCACAACAAGACAACAAAAGCAACATCAATTGGGAATGCTGTCATGGCTTGTGTGTTGCCCTCGACGCACCAAGCCCTAAACTCTGAACGGGCCAACTGTTTTGTCAGAAGGAAGGATTACTTTGACGCATCTCAATTGTTGGGAATGCAGCTGCGCGAGACCACGCATGGAGCTATAGCCACCTTAGCTTGCAATCCCCCGCAAATCCACAGAACTCAAGAGACTCTTGAACACCTCACAAGGACTTTTCTACCAGCGGGGTTTGCATGCTCACAACATTTGCCACCGGCTTCGGCTCTTCCAGCTCTGGCGTTGTTGGCAAGCCTTTGACGTGCACACGCTGTGACTGCCATAATTGAGTCTGCACACCTCGAGCCCAGAAGTCTTCTGCTTCTACGTGCTCATGAAATCAGTCGGAGTAGACTGACAGCACCGTGTGAACCATGGCGTCGACTGCAGATATGCGGCCGCTGGTGCTGTCCTCTACACCTCGAAAGGCATCAGACTGGGGATTGCGATTACTGCTACTGCTAGCTGCCCACTGCAACGATGGTGGCTGCAACTGTTACTCCAACTGCTAGAGTCTGTCGCCTCAGCACACATGGAACTCCGGCACCAGCAAATCTATCAGCACGACCAGTAACATCAGCACTGTCAGCACGAATGCAAGTAGTGTCGTAGTAGTAGTAGTAG